TGATAGGTAGATAGAGAAAAATACGCTTGGGACCTCAAGTTAATTCAGAACTATAAACAACTACGTGTCCAAGAACTTAATTAACCCTAAAGGAATCAGTTAAATTTCTATAAAATCATGTTTAATTTACGCAACTGGTTAATCTTAAAAAGCTATTTCTTTATTTAAACATATTATTATAAACCCATTGTAATGAAAAAAGGGCTAAAGACTTTTTAAAAAAAAAGAGTGTAGATGCACTGAATCTGTAGAAAAGAATCTCATTCCTACCCACGGGCTGTCCATGGTGATGGGTAGGTGAAGCTCGGTGTCCTCGATGACCTTAAGGATGAGTTCCCTAGCCTCTATCCTGTATTTGACCACGTCTGCCAAACATGGCCACTGCAGGCGTCCGCCGAGTCGGTAGTTCTCCTAGACAGTTGGATGTAATTAGTTATTCTTAATGGTTTTTTGCACCCCCATCAACATAATTTAGGCAATTTAAGATATATGATGGTACACGGTAGGCACTTTGCTCTTGTCTCTCAGGGCCACCGAGTGCTATGTCCCAGTAAAAAAGACGGGGATTCTCTATAAAATATCTCCCCCTACTTAGACATCAAACTACTTATTAATTATTTTGTGTGTGGTTGAACAAGATAATAATATAGTGGTGATAAAAAGTGATTAAAAAATGGAACCACACTACGCGTTTGATCGGTTCGTCTTTCCTGTAGAAAAATAATGATCCTTTCTACCACGAAATTGAAATGATAAAGTATTTGACAAATGAAACAAGGTGGAAGGATTATTTCTCAGAAGAAAAAGTATAATGCTATTTATGTAAAGCAAACAATTAAGACTAATCATTGTTTTGTTTTATAATCATTTGCCGTGCAATGAGAGGAGTCATTTACACTTTTGGAAACATTTTCACTACTTTAAGACTTCAAGAATAATGTTAAAAGTCGAGCTGTCCTTGGTGTGGTTGGTTGGGATGCTCCACTGGTAGGTCCTGCTGCTTTTCTCTCTTTGTAAGTAAATTATCTATGCATGTCTATCTTGGGCTTTCCGAGCACCAAGAGGCAATTAATGTGTCAATGTGCTTCTCTTTACCCAAACTAAACTTCACGTCATGTATATCTTCCACTAACAATAGCGCTGTTCAGTTCCATTCCTTCTTTTAGCATTGACAATTATTTCTGTCACAAAAATGGCTAGTTAACGTAATTTTGGAGGTCATAATGAGCATTTAATGCATTCAAGTTGCAATTGTCTAGATCTATGGGGTTTTTTTTCAACGGAATAAAAGGTTCATATTGTTTGTTGTTTTCGTTACTCACTTTATTATTGTACTTCTTGTTTCTTTTTCGTTATTGTTCGAGTGCTAACGTGATGTTAAATAGGGGAGTGGGTGACTCATTTACAACACAATGTGTTGTTAACAAGTGTTCATTACACCAAAGATAATGCCAAATGAATAATTCTGAGTTTCAACACACTACCTCCGCCATGACGATTTCTGGCATGAAATATCTCACTCACACGTGTTACCCCATAATGATTAAATGGGAGTCAGAGCTGAACGAACGTCAGGGACATCTAAACTGGGATTTAGCCCCCTACCCCTCATCCCTCAGATAAAAACAACCACCATACTTTGCACTAGAATGTAGATTACAATAATTAACTCTCACCGTGTCATCCCAGGCGAGCTCATTCACCCCAGTCTCGAACATCGTCTCGTATTCCAAGTTGATTCGTTTCTGTATGGTGAAATGGTGAAATGTTGAAATGTTGAAATGGTATAGGTTTAACGCCCCTATCAAAACTATTAGGTTATTAAAGAGGCGGGGCCTCCTAGTTTAACGTCCGTCTCCGAAAGGACGGAGCCAAGTGGGAAATTCGTGTAAAGTGCCTTTCCCAAGGACACAACGTCGGACCGAGCTCAGGCTTGAACCTCCGAGCCCGCAATCTCCCGTTTCTGTTTGGCATACATTGAGAAAACGCGAAACAAAGAGGAGTTATTATGATATAATGTTTGATTTCTACTAGATTATAAAAATGTACTACGCCCCCATTGACAAAAACTAGATAGTGTTCCAGTCTGATTGTCAAGAAAAACCCTGGCTGACCTGGATACACTGTGCTTACAGACAGGTGGATAGAGAAACTACCTTTTCCATGCAGGATTCAGGTTTCTGCAAGCATGGGCAAAAAGTCTAACGGTTACTTAAAAGAAGCTATAAAAGTTCCAAGAGACACAGTTTGATCTACTTTCCAAGTCATCATTGCCAGAACAATAACTCCCATCGTTCCAAAGATAATGCATAAGTGGTTGGCGGGTGCTCTGGTGTGGTTTGCTTCTTCTGTTCTACCAAACATTTATCGCCCTTATTCCCCCTTCTTCTTTTTCATGTTTGTTACCCTCTTGTAACACCTCAAATCTTCAAGCGCTCATATGACCTTATGCAGTTGCGAGCGCCGTAAAACCTCCACTAAAACTAAATCTAAAAGATAATGCGTCCTGCCATATTATGATACATTGTGTCTGCAGTGATGATTCGTTGCTCTAGAAACAAAGAATATATTTTATCTGTTACGATATGATCGCGACTCAGTAAAATGGTGGAGGGGTGTGGAAATTTCTCATCATTCCAAACTTGAGAATAACTCTTCGCCAATTTGAACCATGACTCCTCGTGCATTTAACACAGTGTTGCCAAACACTTTCTTCAAAAAGCTAGGCTTGTTGTTCGAATCGTGATTTGCCCTTTAACTCCCTGTCCGCGTCCCAAAAAAAGTTTTGTTTCAAAAGATTCTGAAGATTTTGGTTACTGGCACTTTTCTTCCTCTATCTCTCTTACAGCGGATAGATTGCCTCGAAAATCTGGCTGTGTCTCTCTTTTCCTCTCCTCTGTTTACCCTCCCTCCTCGCCCACCTTGCCCTACCCATCTCTCTCTCTCTCTGTCTCTCTCTCTGTCTCTCTCTCTCTCTCTCTGTCTCTCTCTCTCTCTCTCTCGCTCTCTCCTTTCTCTCTCTCTCTCCTTTCTCTATCTCTCTCTCTCTCTCTTCTCTCTCTCTCTCTCTCTCTCTCTCTCTCTCTCTCTCTCTCTCCCCCTCCCTTTCTCTCTGCCTCTGCATCTGTGTCTGTCTGTCTGTCTGTCTGTCTGTCTGTCTGTCTGTCGGTCTGTCTCTCTTCCTCTCCTCCCCCCCCTCTCTTTCTTTCTCTCTCTCTTATTTTCTTTCTTGTCTGTCTGTCACTCACTTTCTCATTTCTCTGATGGTGTTGTCTATGCAAAAGCACACGATCAAACATGGCGATACCGGCTACCTATTCTAGTCCGAAAACCCCAGTCTATATCCCTCCCCCCTCCCATTCCCTTACTTCATTTTCCGCTACGAACATAGAAGAACCACCCCCACCCAAAAACAACAACAACAAACAACAACCACCCAACAACAACAGCAACAAAAAAAACAACAACCCGACAAAATAAAACAAAATATAAACAACCAAAAAACCCCCCCAACAAAACAAAACAAAACCTGGAAAAAACTAAGAGTTCTAAGTTTGATGCTTTTCTTCCCCATGTCTGGGCATCTTCTACTCTTTGCTCTCAAATGTTCCTTAAAACATAATATTATGCACGCACCTGCACTATAGTGGGGGAAAAAATTCGTGGTGCAACTTATTGTCAAATATTTCTTTAACTATCAAACATAGTCTTCAGATTTTTCACAACGACTTGTATCAATTTGTCTGAACAAATCACTTTATTGGAAATATCTGACAGATTTATTCTAGAAAATTCATTAATAAACACTAATAAAAAATTCCAGTGAGTGGTTTCTACAGATTTTTGAAGGTTTACAGCTGGGACAATATCGCTTTTAAAAGCAAGTTCGTCATTTTTTCCCCTTTTAATATTGATCGCATGCTTTGAGAATCTTTAGTGCAAAAAAGTGTTCCCCCTAAAAGTGATTTTTTGTGTCAAGTTTTTCAACTAAAATGTCATTTGTTAGATTGACGTAAGCGAAATGCGATATAGAATGTGTGTGAAAAGCGGGAATTGTTGTGAACAATCCAATCTTCCGGGTGATTGAGTATTGAACAATTTTGTATAAATTTATGAAAAAAAAGTTGATATTATCTACCCTCTATTGCTGTGGAAGAAATGATTAAGTTAAGACAAACTAATACAAACTGTTGTGCAAATTATGGGCAACATTGATTCACCCGTTAAGGAAATATTTAAATATAGGTTGCGCAACGAATGTTTTGCCCGTACAATAAAAGATAACATAATTTTAGTTTTAAAATATATTAAATAACAGAAACAAGAGTCCACAAGGCAAAATCCAGATTTAAAGCACACCCCCTCCCCCCATCCCCTTCCCAAACGACAAAAGGCAACAAAACAACCCCACACAACTCAATATAATATGAATAACAAAATCCCATCCCCTCCCCTTTCCCCTAAAAAAATGTTTAGCCCCTCTCACCCTCAGAAGCCCAGCCAGGATGAGCTTGTTAATGAAGACCACAGCCGTGTGAGCGTAGTAGAAGATGAGGGGGAGTCGGAGTTTATCCGGGTACACGTAGAACACACTTTCATCTGAGAAAGGACAAATCATAAGTAATTCTCGTTTTTAAAGAAATATTTTCGTTGATACAAATTACAGCTGTCGTTCAACATGTAATACAGAAAAAACAACAACTGAAATATATATATATATATATATGTTATATAATTTTCTTTAAGAAATATACATTTAGCCTACTTATAAAAAAAAATTAATTCCTACGTAATCTGGGCTATACATGTCTGTATGAAAATATGCGTCGTATACTTTTACTTTTCAAATATCGGTACATAATTTATCATAGGGGAAAATAGATTATGGGATGTGCACGAAGATTTACCTACATACTCAAGTAAAGTGAAATCGAAACGTACCTTTCAGGGCTAGGAATAGGCTTTCATTGAGGTCGTAACTGTTGTTAAAGTACTCCTTTATATCCCTGAAATGATCGACATATTTTAATGACATCAATGATCTGTTAGAGATATTGCAAAGTCGTATGAGCCTTCGGGGATATAGACAAGACAACTACATTTGAGAAAAAAAAGTACCTCAATATTTATAATATTTTGATCTATGGATCAGCTAGCATTGAGGAAAGACATAAAGAGAGAGAGAGAGAGAGAGAGAGAGAGAGAGAGAGAGAGAGAGAGAGAGAGAGAGAGAGAGAGAGAGAGAGAGAGAGAGAGACAGACAGACAGACAGACAGACAGACAGACAGACAGACAGACAGACAGACAGACAGACAGACAGACATATACACAGCCAGACAGACAGCGATATGAGGAAAAAACGAAAGGAGAAAATAAGCAGACACATAAGGGGCAAAAAGAGAAGAAAGATAAGATAACGCTTGGCACTGAAAGTCAAAACATAAGTGAATTGTGAGTGTGTGTGTGTGTGTGTGTGTGTGTGTGTGTGTGTGTGTGTGTGTGTGTGTGTGTGTGTGTGTGTGTGTGTGTGTGTGTGTGTGTGTGTGTGTGTGTGTGTTTGTGAGGGGGGTGTCACATTGACAGACAGACTGGCAGACATAGAGATAGACGACAGACAGCTAGATAAGTTTTAGTTTTAGTAAGGTTTTACGGCGCTCGAAACTGTATAAGGTCATACGAGCGCCAAGGGGTGTATGTCAACAGAGAAGTCCAAGCGGGGAATCAGGCTTACTCTGCTCACCTCGTTAGCCTCAACAGCACAAAGCCTGCTTCGACTGTCAAGGCACCTCGGAATTAGCAGTTCACAAGAGAGTAACAAACATTCAGAAGGAGTAGAGGAAAATGAAGATAGTAAGGATGAGGAAAGAAAAAGCAGCAGTTCCCCACAGTTATTCCGGCACAGTATTAGCATGACATTGATAAATCAGCCCCTCCCCAATTCTACTGTGCATAAGAACATGTTAATATTCCCGCTTTGGGAATTACCTAAAGACAACTTCAGTCAGTAGCACTGCCCTGGTGAGGGTAAGATAGATAAGTAAACAGACCGACAAGCACGTAAATAGATGGATGGATGGTAGGATAGATGGATGGACGGATGGATGGATAGATGGATGGATGGATAGATGGATGGTTGTTTGAACGAAATCCACACAGGATGGAACGGTTTTCAACTTACTCTTTTGTACACGTCGCTAGGTTCAGAGGAGGCAGACACTTGAACGTTTTCTGACCAGTTAGGATCTTCATTTTGCTTGAAGATTTTCTGTTAGAAACAAATCGTTGAAAAGAGAGATTATAAGGCCTACTCTTTATGCACCCGTTTCAGCGAGCTTTGTGCTATCTCGTAGTAACTCTTTTTTCCGATTTTAACATGAACCAATTTAAAATAATCGAACAGAAGTTACCAAAACGGTCGTTAGTATAGTACAAAATAGAGCTAAAGTTCTTCAGAACAATGACATTTGCCGTAGTAATTTTTGGGTTCAAAGGGAACGTTTTACAACTGCTTTGCTAACTGCGAAGAAAACTCTAAAATGTCGAAAATAGGAGTTTGTGAAAGAAAGCCCCATTAGCTTGTTAGCTGCTGCTGTGTGTAGGTGACGAGCGAAAATACAATTCTATGAGAATAAAGCATCGAATTACCCAAACTCTGGAGGGACAACCTGAACTTCTTTTTTTAAAAGAAAACCTTATATCACTTAAACGGGGTGTTGAACTCCTACCATGCTGTGTTGGTGGGAATAAAAAACTATCTACCCACGTAATTCACTCTCCCAACTGGTTAGAATACAGGCTGTGGGAGCAAATGATACCGTGCGCCAATCGAGGAGTTTACGAACGGAACTACTTACCTACTCACGATATTGGCACGAATCAACCTATAACTTGCATGGACACGACGTGCCTCCCGTGGGCAAGATCACAAGTGGTTGCAACACACGTTATGAGAGCAGGGTGGTACCTCGCAAGCTGTTAAATTATGTTAAACTATTTTCAATTCTGTATTGTGTGAAACTCAATTGACACATTGTTATTACCAGGGGCGGCTCGTGGTTTGTAGAACTGGCCGACTGTCATCCACATCGATCCCATCCCCTCCCCCCCCCCCAGGCCATAAAACATCGACGCATCTACATAATGGTAATGAGTTTAGATACAATTAAGATAGTCTAAAGAAATAATTGATATCGTACCAATGACACGACGCTGTCCCGTGCAGATAAAGTCTAGAATGACATACAACAGTATTTAAAATGTACATGCACTGAACATGGCAACACTTCTCAGAAGACTGCATAAGGCTGTGAAGAACTGTATCAAATGGTAATTACAGAATCAGAACCCAGTGTCTGGCGGGGATGAGGGCATAGGGGAAGGGGGGGGGGGTGGTGTTGTTTTGTGCTGCCCAGACTCCGCCTGCTGAGTTCGCTCGCTAGTTTCGGCTAACACTCTTTTATCCTCAGTAAAATTTCGTCTATACGAAACATGAATGACCAGTTCTTTAAAGCGTCGGTCTGCCAGAAGGTTTCAGTAAGAAGTAAGTGACGAATAGAACGTCAAACAGAACCATGGGTGACCAAAAACCTATAGGCAATACGAATTAGAGCAATCTTAACAATACATGTACTGACTGTAACTATGGACAGTTTTGCTGTTAACGTTACTGATGAAATACTAAGAAAAAAGAAAGTGAGAAGCAACCACCTCTTAGCCCTGCCCCCTGTAAGCCTACGTTACCCAAAGACATACTTTCCACACACACATATTCAAAGTCTCGACCTGCACTCGCCATGTTAAAATATGAAACCCGTGTTGCTGTCAATTGATACCTTACCAATGACGCTGTCCAAGCTGATCAAGTGTAGAACCAGATATATTAAATTGTGTACTGTACACTGCACTAACCCCCCCTCCCCCTCACACGTACACATACACACACATTGAGCAGATTTAGCACACAACACTTTCTGTATTCACATGTATTCAAAAGTTCTTCGCTTCATTGCTCACCTCAGTTCGAAGAACACGTCTAATTTCTATATGGGGCACTGTGTCGAGCTATTTAGAGAAGTTATAGTCTAGCGGGGGTGAAGGTGGAAAAGGGAAGGGGAAAGGGAGGGGGTGTATTATTTTAAGCCCAGACTCTCTCTCTCTCTCTCTCTCTCTCTCTCTCTCTCTCTTTCTCTCTCTCTCTCTCTCATACACATACACACACACACTCTCTCTCTCTCTCTCACACACACACACACACACACACACACACACACACACACACACACACACACACACACACACACAAACAGACAATTGTCTGTCTGTCTTCTCTTTATTTGAGTGTATGTGTATGTGTGTGTGTGTGTATGTGTGTGTGTGTGTGTGTGTGTGTGTGTGTGTTTCTGTCATCTGTGTGTGTGTTTGTGTTGTATGGGCGCAGTTTTGGGGCAAGGTGGTTGGGGGGGGGGTAGGTAACGATGAGTTTTGAGTTTTATAGCTGTTCAATTATACAACCCACGAGCCGCCCCTGATAAGAATAGGAATAATAATAATAGTAATAATATGATAGGTATCTTGCTGCTCTCTCTATGCTACTACTACTACTACTACTACTACTACTACTACTACTACTACTACTACTACTACTGCTGCGCACACACACATAAATACATACACCCTCACCCTCACACACACACACACACACACACACACACACACACACACACACACACACACACACACACACACTCACTCACAAACACACACTTTCCACCTTCCCAGTGCAGTTTTTTAGAAGTTAGACCAAAGATGCAGATGGTCAATGTTCAAATCCGAGTGGGGTGTACAAATCGTCTTCCTGAAAATATTTCCCCTCATCCGGGTGTAGCATATTCTTTTTCTTTGAAATGGTTCTTTTAATTAAGTGAAAACAATACTATCAACACAGTTTTCACGTGATGTTAGATAATAGATAACGTCTTACTTTTTAAAAAGCATTAATTCAATTATTCCTTCATTCACTTATACGCGGGTAGTTGGAGGGTATCAAAGATAGGCTTTACTTTTATTATTTTCCTCTGTTTTTACAGCCTAAATATCTTACTTTTTCATAGCACTAAATGGCGATTATTGCATCTAATGTGGTTCTCTTTACTCAAAGTAAGAAAAAAAAACCAAAAACAAAATGCAAAACAACGTAACTCCAAATAACAAACAAAAAACCAATAACCCGCAAACGGTCTTGCTTTCATTTTTTGGTTTATTTCATTCATTGGTGTCATACTTAATCCTGTGCTTTTTTCCCAGCTATCTCAGCGACCTGCATGTGTATAGGTGCTCTTCAGTGATGGGCCAATGTTCGTTTTTGCTTTCACCTATTCGGACTAGCGCTCTGCTTGGTCTTCACAAAACACTTACGGGCACCATACTCCTTAAATCAGGGAGCGAGACTTCAATGAAGAAATTTACGTGAGTCTAACAAGAGTGGGTATTTTACTTAGATCTACTTATGATCCTTCTGTATAAAAAAAAACCAACAACCGCAAATTCATTATTGTGTAAGAAAATACTTGTATTATTTAGCTTGTCTTGAAGAATATGCAAGGATGGCAGTCCAATCAGAATATGTTTAAGATAAGCACATAACTTCAAAATAATATGATTATAATATTATTTTATATGCCTCTTCAAGCGCTAAGTAGAGTTTGATAGCATTTGGATAAAAAAAAAAAGACAAATAGATAAATAAAAATATAATACTTTATTTCACCCATTCCCCCTGAGTACATTTAATTGGGTTTCAATGTTATCTACTGTCTACATTTGTATGATAAGCTGCATGGAGGATAAGATACCAGTGGGAGATAGCATAATTATCCTGGCAGAAGAACGTGACAGTTAGTGACACTAACCGAAGACATGACTTAAAAAACAGAGATTGACTTGCAACACAAAGACTGAAAGAAAAATAGAGAAAAAGGTGGCAAAAGTTAATATTGGTGAATATTTGTTTGGTGAGTGGATATATATTTAACATTAAATTTTAGAACCTTTACCTTTTCGTTTCAGTGACTTAGAACACGGGAGTCTACCTTGAATTTTGAGACCTCAAAATACACTGACGGTTAAACGCAGAATGCCGGATAGCTTTGGACTGAACAGTTAAGTAGTCCACGCTGCTTGTCGCAGAAGCCACCAACAAACTGCCTGGCTCCAGTCAGCGCACGTATTCTTTGATCATATTTCTTCTTGAACCCAACCCTGAAGGGATCAGGCGCCAAAGTGCAGCTATCAAAATAAGACGCAAAAAAGTTTGAACTTTCCTGCACTTTTGCAACTATCTAAAATGCTGACAAGCAATTCATCAACAGAATTTCTTCAAGTCGTTGCAACCCCGCCGCTAGTGGGTTTATCTACGGTAAGAGACGCTCGTTGGTGATGTAATTGATCCTTCTGTTAAACACCTGATTATTCACCATATTTTATGAAATAATAATAATATCAGCTGAAAAATACAGAACAGTTTTATTAATCCTTTACGTAAAATATTTATGTATTTCACAAAATTGCAGCTTCTTCCCTGCTTTCAAATTGTTTTATTTTCCTTATTCTGTGGAAAGAAAAAGGGTTTATGATATTCTAACTCAACGCCCTGGAAGAGAAAAGAAACACTTCAAAAATGACAAATTTTACACGCTTTGCAAAAAGACGTTCTTGACTTCCGAGCTAATTTACTCAGAATAAGATTCTTACCTCCACTAGACACTGAGCTATGGCATTGTGAGGTGTGTGGCCGTGTAGCTCTCAATACCATTTTCTTTTAAAATACGTTTTGCATCATATTAGTATTACGGTCTATACGGATAGTCTGGAGAAAACGATAGTTTCCCCCCTTAGATCAAGCAATGAGGAATAAGCCATGAAGGAAATCTACCTGCCCCTTTCCTTTCTACTTCAACGCTTCCTAGCTCTCCCTCACCCCTCCCCCCCCAAAAAAGAAAAAAAAACAGCACAAAAAACTAACAAACATACAAACAAGCAAACAAACACACAAACCAAACACCAACAAACCAAATAAAAATTCCGACACATTTGAACGCCAGCGCTCAAGAATTGTATTCCAAGGCAGACTGACGTACCTGCAAAAGTTATTAATTTTTGCTTTTCGTTTAAATGGACGCTTATACCCATTCTGCATCTTGTGTCAAAGGCAAGAAGGCGTATCTGCACTACAAATAGGATACTATTTCACT